AAAGTGGATTTTGCACAATAGGTGACCTTTAAGCTGACTGGATTCATCTCTACTTAGGAGTTTGTGTGACCTTTGGGAGTTTTCTTTTAAACACCCCAATGTGTTACAGATACAAAAAACTCTAACCTGGCCTTAACTGCATGTGTACTGCATATATCACCTATATCCCAATAAAGAAATAAAAAACTGTTCAAACCTTCTTCATGGTTTTTAGAAAGCCTCATCCATGCTATGCTGAGTAAGGGGAAATCTTAAGAGCTAAGCGACAATTCGAAAGGTTTATCTCAGTTTGAACGTGTTAAAAAGGGGAAACCGTTTTGCTGAATCCAATCACATGTTTCTTTTCATTTTCTTTTATATATTGGAATACTATACTAAAAGCACAGAGGAGGCATGAAATCATGGCACAGAAACAGAAATGTTTAGTTTAACTTGGCTCCTCTGACGGACTTATTCTACAGCTTCCTCTCCTGGGCAATATGTGAGGTTGTTAATGTTAAAACAACTCCTACCAGCCCTACAGTACCACCTATTACTCCACACAAACCAATGTATTCAGGACAGATATTTAGCTGTGCATTATCGACTCCCTGAAAACATATTAATGTATTCATGTGATTGTAAAACTGCTGCAGTTTCAAAGCTAGACTGAACAAACTTTTCTTAATGAAGCAAAGACCCGTCGCTGCTAGTCGAGCATTTCTTATATTATGGCAAGTGCTGGATTATTAAAAGTGATAGAAACTACAAGTTATTCCTACAAAGGTCAATTAATTGTGAGTTTAAACCTCAATAAACGAGACATGGCTGGCCCTTTCCCCAGCTAATTCTTGACGAAGTGACACAGCTATTAATACACTCGACGGCACATAGACTGAGAAATGAGTCATGTATATTGGATTTACTAACATATTGTTTGCCAATACTGGAGCAAGATTAAAAGTGGCATTAGACAGTTCCCCATGACATGTTGAACTAGAATTATATCCCTCTTACTGTTATGTAAAATATGTGTTTGGTTAAAGAAGTGAAGAATGGTTTAAAGTGTGTTTCGTTGACCTGAGTGACACACCCTCCACAACACCAGAAACTAATGAAGTTTTGTGTGGAAATGAAAAAGTGAGTCAATACTTTTCAACAGGAAACTTCTCTAAAAGGCTTAAAAAATATCAAAATGCTGTTTTTCCATGGATGCTACTTTAAGTAACTTGTATTGCAAAGCAGAATGTATTCCTGATGGCTGCTGGGGTCAGTCTTTTTTTCCAGTCAGAAGATGCTGCAAATTTCCATTAGGAAATGGAAATGGAGAGCAGCTTCTTCCCTCAATGGGAACAATGGAATTCTCTATATTCCATGTTCAACACAAACCACAGCGTCTTAAATTACTATAAACACAGAAACATGTAAAATCTGTCTGCTTTACAGTCATTTACAAATCTGAACTAGACAGAAAAGTCTAATAAACCGTGTTAAGTATATTTCATGTAGTGTACTCATACATTAAACTATTTCTTTTTTTTCTACCTCTCCTACAGTGTCCTACAGTAATTTCTTCATCTCCACAATGAAGTTCTTGTGCTACTGTCTGAGAGAAGCCGCAGAAATGCTTTGGCGCAGGAGCTGGAGACGTCATGGATTCCTGAGTGTGTGGCTTTGCAGGAAAGCCCTGAGTCTCCGACATGGACCGGCTCCAGGTTTCCATGGCAAAGGCGCACAAACAGGAGGAAACACTGAGGGAATCCCGTTATTTTACAGCATTGAAGCATTATAAACACCCAGAGCGGGGAAGGAAGCCGCTCTTGATACACAAGTAATCCTTATAGAGCTCTAGGAAGGGGGACTTCATACCAGAAGCGCTGCTGTGGCTGCTGGGGCTGCGTGTTTCTCCAAAAGAAAAGGACATTTGCGCACAGCTGCTGTGTCGCAGCTTGAACTTTTTTAACTTACAGAGGTTTTATATCCACCTTCTTTCAACATCTTTTTTTAAACTGAAGAGTCCTACTTCTGCTTTGACTTTCAGCGGAAAGTATTTTTCCTTTTTATTTATTTTTTCGCTTTTTCTCCCAGATGTTTAGAGAGACTTGGAGGCTGGCACAGTACCACACCATGAGGTCGATGGATCAAGGTACTGCTGAAGTGTTGTGATTATCTGGTAATCAAACAATTTGATTTTTAATTGATAGAGTATCCCTGGAGTGTGTTATCTGCGATGATACGAGCTGTAATGTCATGTGTGAGGGATCTGTGTAACTGCTCAATGGGATGTTGATGTTTGGGGAGAGAAGCTGCCGCGCGTTGGTGCGTGGGCATCCCCGGGAAACACCGAGATGCTGGAGGGGGGAGATACTGAGCATAATGGTAGTTATTAATAAGGAAATAACTTTATTTTATCAGAGTAAAAGAGAAAGGCACTTTGGATATGGATGCAAAAAGACGTTTAATATAGACATGATGTCAACATTTAGAGTAAAAGACATGGGTTTGTAATAGGAAAACTAATTTAAAGTCACCTGGGTGCGAGTATTACATTATTTCGGTTCGCTTATGATTTTACAGTCTAATAAGGTAGTGGCCAAGTTTCAAAACTCTAAGAATAATATATAACGGTGCAAAATATAAATCCAGGTTGTCTCTTAAAATTAAAAGAGTAAAAGTGCTTTCATTATTTTTAAGATGTATATCCTGTCCGATATGTTTTCCGATACGATTTCCATACTTCACCATTAAATCCCAAACATGTAAAGTTATTATTGGAGTTTAGGAGGCTACGTCTGTAGCCTATATTTTGCTGACTAAGCATGTATGCTACTCCAAGAGGAAGAAACGCCCTGGTGTGTGCTGCGTCGTGCGTAAAACTGGGGATTGCCTCAGGAGTGCATTTTTTTTATGAAGAGCAAAAAAAGTATCGACACGTTAACGGGTAAATATCATGAAATCCAATCAGTCAGGGAACCTGGTTAATACCCGTGTAAACTCACCTGAATCTCAACCCAGTTTGAATGGGTGGTTGTAGGTCAGGTGATCCCTGCTGTGTCACTGTCAGGTGTCAGACACCCGGGGGCAGCACAGCCTGTCAAACCTCACAGGGATAACTTTGAACGTTGCTGGCAATTAATCTCCACCAAGCTGTGTGTTTCTCTTCCTCGACGCATCAAAGCAGAGGCGTGATCAGACACACAGATGAACTCGACAACTCTGCACTGAGTGTGAAAACAGATCCGCCTTGATCTGAAAATAACGCGGCAGAAACAGGAAACCTGAACGCCTCACCTCCTGCAGGCTCACCGATGCATCATTTGACACTTGAACAGGTTCCCCAAACCCACCCCAGCGCTACACCTCCAACTTTGTCGCTTTGCCTGAACTCTGAGGAGTCGTGAGGAAAACACTGAGACAGATGACCTCTTTTTACGACGAGAAAGACTTGGAGGAAGATCTCAGTCGAGTGAACTGTCCTGATGAGGATTTGGAGTTTGAGTACTTGTTTGAATATGAACCACCTTGCAGCGACTTTGCTGCGGGAGATCAAGGTTTGTCCGGGGCTTTTTGTTGGCAATCACTCCTTAATCTGTCTTGGTTATTCGAGACTCATAATTAATGTGTGGCCAGAGGCTTATTCATGTTGCTAAAAATAAAAACAGGAAGTACATTTGACAGTCTACTGGGTGATGGTTTGCAGAAAATGTCAACATGAAGAGTTTGTTTCAGCTGAACAATGTGTGTGTTTTTCTTTCAAAAGTTAAAATAACAACATCTTTGTCAACAGGTGAAGTTGTCTGTGTGGTTCAAAAAGGTTCACTTGTGTTGAAATGATTGAGAAACATTGCTGTATTGGAAAATGGGAAATATATCTGCAACACTGACGATTTGCAAACATGTGGTTTGTAACGATTTCCCCTCTTACCTCCCCTGCAGATGACCCCAACCTCACACCTCACAAAATCTTCAATCCTGAGTCTGAGCAAGCGTACCCCCTGCAGGAGGCCTCGCCGTACGGCCTCAAGTCCTGCAGCCCCTCCTACATCGACCACAACATCACAGAGGTTCTCTCGGGATATGAGAACCAGGAGGCCCGACACTACCTGGACAGCACCCGGCCTGCAGGCCTGGCCCTGAGCCCCCGCATCGAGATCACCCCGTCCCGCGAGCACTACAACTATGTCCGGGATTCCCTGCAGAACCAGAACCTGAACATCAGCCCCCGACCCACCCTCACCGTGCCGGGCCATGACAGCCTCACCTACCGAGAGCCTCAGTGCCTGAGTCCTGCTAGCAGCAACTCCTCCACCAGCTGGCACTCTGAGAGCTACTCCCCCTGGACGTCCCCCTGTGTGTCCCCCAGCAGCGGCCAGAACCCCGGAGACCTGTGCCCCAGATTACAGAACATCCACACTGGCTCCCCCCGTACCTCCCCGGGAACCTCGCCCCGCACCAGCCTAGCGGAGGACGGCTGCCTGGGGGCCCGCTCGCCCTCCTCCAGACCCAGCTCCCGGTCCACCTCCCCGCAGGGCAAACGCACCTACGACATGTACAGGAACCCGGGCCTGGTCCTGGGGCACCGGTCCCGCAGCCCCTCTCCCCACAGCGGCCATGAAGATCACAACATAAGCGCCCACTATACACACAGCAGCCTGGCCGAGGCCATGAATGGTTTTGGCCCCGGTCAGCAAGGCCTCATGCCCACTAAAATAGTCAAGACGTCCAACCAGGTTTACACTCTGTACCCAGAGAACCACACAGAAGGGAACTACCTGGTGTCCTGCGACCAGGACTTAAAAACCACAGAGCCTTTCTTTGTTATCCCCCCAATCTGGTCCAAGCCCCTGGTTTCCAGCATCCGCAGGTAAATCAGGTTGAATTCCGGGTCAAAAGAAACATTCCCATCTTCCAAGCTGCATAAGGCTATTGATTTCCATGATTTATATTATTTTTTGTATCCTTACTCTTTAGCATCCCTGTGGCTTCTCTCCCTCCTCTGGAATGGCCGATGCCCAGACGCACGGACCAGTATGAACTCCTCATCGAGGTGCAGCCCAAACCGCACCACAGAGCTCACTATGAGACGGAGGGAAGCAGGGGAGCGGTCAAAGCCCCCACAGGAGGACATACTGTTGTGCAGGTACGACCAAAAACTGGATTCAATGCATAAAAGTACTTGATATCCTTTATATAAAGTGTTGAATGGGCATATGAAAGGATGCTGTGAGGCTTGTCAATTAAATTATAGCAGCCTTCCAGTGTGTGAGCCTCAGGCAGTGCTGTGTAATGATATTTCCACTCATTATGCACTCAGTGGTGGTGGTGGTGCTATTGCCCAGGGCCAGCTGTATGAAAATGACTTTATGTGAGTTACTGTGGCTCCTCTCATAACCCCTTTCCTATTTCAAACTTTCTAAAACAAATCATACAGCATGCTCTCACCCCAGACATATGACACAATGTTAACCACCCAGTAGCCTCGTGAAAACCCTCACAACTGAACTCAGGTCAGTGAGCGACACAAGCTTTTTTTTCTTCTGCTTTGCAGCTTAAAATAGTTTTCTGTTGTGCGCCCCCGCCCCTGTGTTTATTTTAACCACACAGACAGGTCTCTGTTCATGTTGTCCCTGACTTCCTCTTACACACTGGTTTGTTGACTGCTTGGGTCTCATATTAGGAAGCGGACTCAAAGTGTTGAAACACTCTCTCGACGCGTGTAAAAGCAAATGAATAGTGCCTGTGGTTAGGATAATTGTAGATCAGGAAATGTGCTAATATTACTCTCACAGTCACAACATTTAAAATTAAACACCGCATGTTCATGTCCAAGAATAGGTTCTCTGTGTTACTGTGGCTGTTTTGTTGGATATAGTTAAGACATGGGGGAATAGAAGCTTCTCCTGCATCTTTTCCATTTTCTGTCCATCCCAAAAGCCTCACCCTGAGGTCAGTTCTGCCCGGTTTGCCCGGCCAATCAGATGGTCAGGCTTGAGTAGCCACGGCCGCCCTCCTTCACCTCTTCTTTCCCTTCCTCCTTTCCTCCTTCACTCCTTATGTTTTTCCTTCTTCATCCCTCTTTCTCGCTCTGAGCCCCATACCCTCCACTTTACTTTTCCTACGCTGCTTTCTGTCATGACTCACTGCTCCTGCACTGCCATGACAACGGGCAGACTGCTCACATGGCCTGTTGAGTGTTTGCAGGCAGCTTCCTCTCTCTCTGTGTGTGTGTGTGTGTGTGTGTGTGTGTGTGTGTGTGTGTGTGTGTGTGTGTGTGTGTGTGTGTGTGTGTGTGTGTGTGTGTGTGTGTTTTTTGTGTGCTACCTGGATATGGAGCCACATGCTCATTCATGTTGCCATAGTTCCTGCTCACATCCAGCAGCTGCTGTGAAGCCTGTCAGCTACATCCACTCATCATTTCTGAAATGTGATTGATGTACAGCTGTTTGTAGTTTTTCTAACTACATTAAAGCAACATAATGTAGATTTCAGTACTTTTGTGGTTTAGTGCCCTAAAAGTTATAGATTGCTAATCACTTATAGGCCTACACATCTTTCGTAAATATGGAAAGCATTTGTTAAGATTAAATTCCTTATTTTTCAAAAACCGCAACGACGTTGATAAAATAGCAACATTTTTAGCACGTGCAACAAGACAAGACATTGCAAGTTAGCTCAAATTGCTAACCTGGTTCAAAAGCGTGCCCACCTGGCTCTGGTTCAGACAGGCCTGAACCCCCCCCCACACAAAATTTATTGCCACTGTCCTAGCGATGTAAAGATTAATAAACACCAATACTCGCCTGGTGCTCTTCCATTCTTAGCATAACGGCTAACTGAGCTAACTGAGCTAACTAGCCGATAGCGGCTTCTGTTAGCTGCAGTTTGCGGTTACTGTACTTTAGCAACAAGTAGAGCTTTCTGTCCATCAAGAACCTCTGTAAATAAGACATTTGAGGTAGAGAAGCCGAAATACATCAGAGAGAAGACCAGACACTTTTATTTCTATAAAATATGAGCTTGTTACAGCAAATGTCAACTTAGTACCACAAAGTGTTACGTAATTTGACATAGCACAAGATCAAGCGTTTAGAATATTTTAAATCTGTTATTTAAGGTAAAATTGTGCTGCTTTTAAAACAAGCAGTCTTAATGGGATTAATAGAATAAAATGGCAAATGAAGTAGACTTAAATTTGGAAATGGATTTTAAATAAACTGCTTACTGCAGCAACCTTTTCTATATTTAGAATACACCTCACCTCACTTCACACTTGTATATTCAGTGATAAAGGTTATGCGCTACACTGTTTGCACAAAAACCAGCATTTAGATGCAAGCTGATGCTTTGTGGTTTTTGCAGGTTTCCTCAGGAGGCACTTTCAGGTTAAAAGCAACATCTCTCTCGCCTCCTATCTGGCTCTATATCTGTCACCAGCTCACAGCTTCACCTATCTGATTCTTTTAATACTAAATGTGTCTTTCAGGTTGAATGATCATGACAATGTCAGTCAGGACCCCTGCTAAATCCTTTACTCAGTTAGGAAAGTACTAGATCACAAGGATATAGGAAGTGGCTCTCTGCTGGTTCCTCCTCAAGGCTGCAGAAAGGAGACTCGTGCTTTTCCACGTGGGTCTGACACTGATTAGCCACCTCTTGGGAAACAACATGTGGAGAGCAAGAGTTGGATCACAGCCAGTTTAAAGCAACTCAAACATTTCCTTCGTACTGTATCTCTGTTTCATTGCCTTGTAGCGGAAGCTTTTTAGTGATTTATGATTGTTTTTAATGTCTGCAGTTACATGGCTACAGAGGCAAGGAGCCACTTGGCCTGCAGATCTTCATTGGTACAGCAGATGAGCGCATCCTCAAGCCGCACGCCTTTTATCAAGTGCACCGCATCACTGGGAAGACGGTTACCACCACCAGTTATGAGAAGGTTATCCACGGCACCAAAGTCCTTGAGATCCCACTGGAGCCAAAGAACAACATGAAAGCAATGTGAGAATACAATCATTTGATTTCTGAATATGTTCCACTCTTTCCACTCAAACTCCTTTTTTAATATCCCTTTTTCTTTGTCTGTTTTTCTTACAAATATATTCCTTTCTTGCAGAATCGACTGTGCAGGGATCCTGAAGCTCAGGAACGCCGACATCGAGCTGAGGAAGGGCGAGACGGACGTCGGTCGGAAAAACACGCGTGTTCGTCTTGTGTTTCGTGTGCACATACCTCAACCCGGAGGACAGCACGTCTCTCTCCAAGTGGCCTCGCATCCCATCGAGTGCTGTAAGCAGCGTCACATTAAACACTTTAAATATATGCTTTTTTAACCTCATCTTTAATAAAATAGTTGAATACAGTGAAGGCTTTATGGATTCCCTTCCTGCTGATGTTTTTATCAGTTAACAAAACTTTATAAACATCATTAAAAAAAAGGAACCTGAATTCAAATGAGTCCAGAGTCCTGCACACAGAGATGTCTTTATGAAATCATGGCTTCTATCCAATTGGTGGGCGCTGCATGTTTCTGTGTGTGCACTGTAGTAAAGTGTGTGTTTGGGTACATCAGTGCGTGTGTGTAGTGTACACAGTGTTATTAAAGCACCTGGTGTAATCAAATCTCAAACAAGAAGGTCCTTTTATCTCGCCTTGACTAACACCCTGGTCAAGGCGAGATAGCTTGGCTCGTGTCATTGTAAAAAATCATGACGCATAATGATATCATTTTAGAATTGGCGTTTCCCCATCTGTTTCCCGATTACAGAAAAAGGACAGAACGATGGTAATAAACTGTTGAGATGAACACTGTCACGTGTAGAGTTTATACAGTGGCACATCTGTCAGGCCTGATGAGGGGGTCTGTGTTGTGTCCGCTCGTGGTGCAGTAAGGCCAAACAATCCCGTTCAAAGGTCACGGGGTTGTTTGTCGACACCTCGGCTCGTCTCAGTGAGTGTGGAGTTTCAGCTGAACTAATGGGTGATGATAACATGAGAGCAACACTGACATTAACCCCTTGGCATTATCGTTCCTTGAAATAGAAAATAAATAGTTGTGTGCATCGTTTTAAGCACATTTCACAACAAATCATATATATTTGGCATCTTCAGACGCTTCCCTTGAGAATGTACAAAATGTAACTGCTTGACTTTACTTAATATCTTTCAGCATTTTAATCTTCACTACAGAAGGAAGTATTTGTTGCCGAATTGGGTTATCAGATTGCTAGTTGTTCCTGTTATTTAGCTGTGCAGCACTTTACTGTATGTAAACCAGTGTAACCTCTTCTAAATTGTAATTGGATAGATTTACACTGCTGCCGACTAAAACAGAAAGTGATTGCTGTGGTCTTTGAATGACTGAGCAGCAGCTTTTTATTGTAAAACTAAATGACACTTCTTGTTAAAACCTTTATTTTTCTCCTGTTACATCAATACGAGCTTTCAAAAGAGGTGTTTTTTTCACGGTGGTTTAGGGTGATTCATCTTTAGACTAAAGATTTACAGTAATCGATTGATAGTTCTGTCTCAGAAAAGTCAAAGCGCCAAAATATATTCAGTTTTTAATGATTAAAAGTAAGGGATATACAACTGTATACAACTGTACTATAACTGGTTTTTCTGAAGGTTTTTCACAATTTTTATTTAAAAAAATTGCTGAAACAATGAATGAAATCAAATAGTTTCCAATTCTTCTTCTGTCAATTCATTACTTTACTGTGGTTGAGTAGAGAATAGCAGCAATTCTCCCATTTGATGAATTGAAATGATGATTTTCTGCATCTATTTTTGCTTTAAAAACGTGTTTGAAACAATAAATGAAATCAAATTGTTGCCAATTATTGTCTGCCAATTGTCTAATTCAAGATTCAAAGTTTCATTGTCATATTCACAAAGCTACAGTGTGGAAATGAAATTATTCTGACCTGAGCTCCTCCAACAATGCAACATATATAATAAAATACAAAGTAGTGCAAAAAGTCTATATACGTGTCAATGGAACAGAATATGAAATTAATTCATTTCTGTATGCAGTTTAATGCTAGTTAAGGTGCTTCATGGTCTCTTTAATCGAGTGTGTGACAGCAGATAGTCAGTAAATGTAACCCCCACCCCTCCCCCTCTGTGTCCCTGCAGCCCAGCGCTCGGCTCACGAGCTTCCCATGGTGGAGAAGCAGGACCTGGACAGCTGCTCCGTGCTCGGAGGCCAGCAGATGATCCTGACCGGGCAGAACTTCAGCTCCGATTCCAAGGTCATCTTCTTGGAGAAAACCCAGGGTGAGTGCCATCAAATCCCATCATCACATTTTCCCACGGGAGATAGTCATTTCCCATTCTCAAATAACGGATTTTAATTGTTCTTTTGGTAACAATAAAAATATACGTTGCCGGGAAATCTATGACCGAATCTATAAAACCTTTACATCATTTAACATGCATCTGTTAGTTCTGCTATTACACAACGCATTGTCACAGTAACACCACAACAGTAAGTGATAACAATGACTCATTGTCACTCTGCGTTGTATAGAATGGAGACATATGAGCTTTTTGCATGATTGAAATGATAACACGGCGGCCTCGCTTCCTTTTGCAATTCTTCTTCCTCCCTGAGTGCCGTGATGTCTTATCTCTGCGCAGATGGGACCTTTTGTCGTGTGATTAATAGTTATGTGTCACATGACGTATCGTATGGCAATCCTGGTTGACACTGAAATGATTTATTTTTATAAATGGCATTGAAATCCATTTCCTTTGAACTAATATTTGGTTCTGTGGAAGGACAGTTGTGTTAAAATACTTGAATGACTCACTGACTCCACTGCTGTCTGAGAGCTTAGCTTTTTCCTTTTTTCCTTGGTTAAAACGACACGTTCCCAAATGTTTTTATATCGGTATAAAGTTTCAATTTATGTTAGTGCCAAAAAAAGTTTTTATACTACGTTTTTCCATTAGAAAAGAAATATGATTATTCTCAATAGGTTTTGGGTTTTATTCAAATGTTTAGCATCTGTTGTCTACTGGGGTCAATTTTGTCAAATCAACCAACATTGCTTCCTTTTCTAACTCAGAAATTAGGTTTTGATTTAGCATACATGAAATCTATTGACCATACATTTAAAAAAGAAGAGTAAAACTTGTGGTTATAAGTAAGAATAAAGTTGCTTTAAAAGGTGTAACATAGATTTGGGGGATAATTTATGCTTTATGCTTTGTAAAAAGGGGGGTTAAAGCAGGCGCTCCACAGGCTACCCCACCCCAGCCTCTTTACTCCGGGGTTCCCTGGCCCTGCGTTACGACACTCCACAGTAATGGATTGTACGACAGAGATGGAAAAATAGATCTTACGAGCATTGTTTTGGAGGGTTTCTGTGTGACACAAAGCTCTGGAGCAGTGCAGCTGTGAAATCCCTCTGGATGAGAGACAGCTGCCTCTGGCCGGAGCTCCTCTGGCTGATGTGCTCCGACAGGGAGGGTTTTTTTTACGGAGAGAAGGAAAGCTTCCTCCGCCAAATCAGAGACTGCTCGGGCTTTCTCTCCTTTCCACCTCCAGGGAAAACCAGAGTCGGGGTATCCCTGAGAGTAGACTTTCAACAAAACAAACACAAACGCCAAGAAAGCAAGAGTCATCACACTTTGTAAGACGTGGAGAGAGTTGATCATACAAAATAAAGTTTAGGAAAAAACGTTGGCAACATGTGTGGAATCCCCCCTTTCTCCTGCTGACTCACATACACCATGTGTTTTTAATTTGACACAGGGCTTCCCACCTACGCTAACAGTCAGACCGAACTCCCTGTCATGTGTCAGGGCATATGGAGTTTATATTTAACGGGACATTAGCCTTTCTACTTGTCTACGTAAATGGCAGCTCTAATGTCATCTGAAGAGGTTTACTGTAACAATACATTAACTATAATCGTTAAAGAGCAGAAGCAGAGCAAAGCCTGCACTTCTCATCACGCCCCTGCTAGTGTTACGTTTCTGTCAGCGCTGCAGTGGAGAACACACGGGTGTGAATGAAGTTGTGTTTTGGCTACACCTGCAGAGCATCTCCACCTTTTCATGTACATTTAAAGGGGCCCTATTGTGATCACTGTCAGGTTCATTTTTGTATTTTGTGACTCTATTCAACTATTGTGACATGTTTCCATGCTTTAATGTTCAAAAAGGTCATTTCTTTTCTCATACTGCCTGTGCTGCAGCACCTCTCTTCACCCTCTGTCTGAAACCAGAGCCCAGTCTCTCTCGACTTTTTCCTCGTTAATGATATTCTACCATGATGTGGGTGGGCGGATTATCACCTTTAAGAGAATAAACAGGGGCTGGAACAAATTGTATGTGATTGGCTAAGGGG